CGACTCCGAAGATGTATTTCCAACATCAACCTGCGTTACTGTGAATGTGAACAGGCAACACCAGGAACACTGACAGAGATAAGGTTGACTAGAATGGCAACTAAATTAAGTGTCCTCACTAACCGAACCCGGATCCAGATTTCAGATCAATCAGATGCCGTTTTCATAATCTTCCTCGATCTTATTCCGATATTACTGATTGTTCGTCACAACGCAAAAGTTTTTGAGGGCTATTAACCGGAGCTCCGAGGCAAAAAATTAACAAATGGATCAGATCAGTCAAGTGCAATTTTAACGTTACCTCGGGTGCTCTTGAGCAAAACTGACACAATGCGCGCCCTTGACTTAACTGATAAAACATCTTAAGTAAATGGTCGTAGACTAACTTGAACTGATGTATAGCTTGCACACGATGGCTAAGTCAAAAATGTTCATTCTAGACGTCTTGGTCTTCGCTAACAATATTTCTTGCTAGTCGATTGGTTCTCTCGATGTGACCACTTGATAACTCTGGCGTGGAGCACTATAGTAAAACGTAACGAGTACACTCCTATCTGTAATTGACTAGATAAGCGCGACCTCTGGATGGCTTTGAAGATATATTTAGTGCGTATTCTTCAAAAAACGACCCTATGGTGCTTATATAGACCTTTAGTCGTCTACCGAACGGCAAAGCACACGCCTCCTGGAAGATTTCTTAAATCTCTGGCATTAACAAACTTCCGTGAAGAAGAGTAATCGCAGACACACTCACAGTATTAAGGTATCTACAAGGGGACTTTCTAGCTCTTAACGGTTATTTGGTTTATTTTGAATAAACATTAAAGCTGAAATGTGCAGGGGTCGCAAAAGAAGGAGGCAGGTAGGCAGGCAAGCCTGTATATAAAGGTGGATAAAAGAAAGAAGGACCACACGTGAGAAATTTTTCAACGGTCGGCGCATGCCTTCGACAAATGCCACTACACCACCGGTGTCAGAGCAAGGCGTTCCGCTGTTATCTAACATATTGGTGTGGGTTTGGGGGGACAAGACACTAAGGTTGAAGGTACGAGATCAAATGTAACAATTTGAAACCAAGCAAATTCTGAGAAGCAGTGAGAAGGCCAAAGATTGACATAAAATTCAGCTAACTAGGGTTTATAGTTGTGCGCTTACCATCAGCCGAAGTTGACAGAGCAGGTGCTTCGTATCCAGCCTCTTCTGCCATGTCATTAATGTTCGAGAAGGTGGCAGGGTTTTCAGTTGGCTCAGAACCTCCGCTGCTTCGCTGTCGACGAGATATCGTGTGCAGGAGGGTGTTGGGTGAGTCGCGTCTATTCTCTTTACCTCCGCCGTCAAGCCTTCGTTCAGAAAGTCCACTTATGACGCCCGGATAAGGCACTTGATCTCCAACCTGCGGCAGTGGCGGACTCAACACATAGTCCGCCGTCGTCCGATTTGCAGCTTTTCCGTCCATTGTCTGTGACATTTTCAGTGGCAAGGAGTCGCTGGATTGTAAGAGGCCAACCTTACTGCTAGCGTACTGTTGATCATGACAGCTTTTTGCGTTCTTAAAGCCTGCAAATTCAGGATTACCAGGGGCACTGTCATTCGATGGCTTCCCATCTACAGACTCATGCAGTCCACCGACAAGGACACCACGCTGCTTCACTCGACGGCGACGTTTGCACATGACCAGTACGATGATACAGAGAACGGTCCAGATGGCTAGAAGGCCAATTAGACAACCGATGAACCAAGCCTGTTGGGCCCAGTGCCCGTTTGGAACAAGAGCTCCGTCACTGGAGTCCATGTAATGGGAAACGTCTGCGTCGTCCACATCAATGTTTGGATCCTCAGGAAGGGTTGACGAGGTGGTGGCGAAACGGGTTCCAAAACCGGGCTGGTTTCGACTACTGGGACTGGGCAGAGTCATGAACTCGGAGGCATTTTTACCCATGAGCTGAAGGTAGTAGCTGGCAATGATGTGCAGGGGCTTCGATCGAACGCCCTCGCCGTGACAGGTACGAGCAGCTAGGTGGAGTGTAAAGTTGCTTTTGCCGGGTAGATCCTCAATTTGGTAGCTTGTTGTTTTCCTGCCAACCTGGAAGAAAAAAAAGAATTTCATAGAATTCTTCTTCAGAGTTTATTGAAACTGCACAATTAAGCTAAGAACTGTAAGCAAGCACTAGGATAGAAGTTTACTGTTTTTTATGAGCGGAAACTATAAATCATAAAAAAGACCCAAGAGTGCAGCTTAGACCAGAGTCCGAATGTTATAAGTTGATACAGGTTGAAAATGAACCTGCTGACTGAAGTAAACGAGGTCAGCCACGGTTAAGATTTCCGATGGAATAAAGGCATTTTAGTTGATATAATTGTAAAAAAGCTCGCAGTCGGCGGGAGTCGAACCCGCACCGCAGTGAAAGCCTTTACGCAGCCAACGCTTTACCGATTGAGCTACCACGCCACGCCGTGCGCCGTAAATCTAATCACACTTCGGTCGATTTTACCCGCCCAACTCACAACTAGTATGGAATCCTCCATTACGGAACAGCAGGCTGACTGT